GGCAGCTGTGAAGTTAAAATATGGGACCTACCATGGGACCGGCATGGGAGTAATGGCGTCCCGTTGGCAGCTGTGAAGTTAAAATATGGGACCTACGATGGGACCGGCATGGGAGTAATGGCGTCCCGTGGGGAGCTGTGAAGTTAAAATATGGGACCTACCATGGGACCAGCATGGGGGTAATGGCGTCCCGTGGGCAGCTGTGGAGTTAAAATATGAGACCTACCATGGGACCAGCATGGGGGTAATGGCGTCCCGTGGGCAGCTGTGAAGTTAAAATATGGGAACTACCATGGGACCGGCATGGGAGTAATAGCGTCCCGTGGGCAGCTGTGGAGTTAAAATATGGGACCTACCATGGGACCGGCAGGCATGGAGACCCTTCTCATGGCGTTTTTCTTGAGATACTGCTCCTGGATGAAGTCCACCGGCTTGTCGGTGTCCGGGATGGAGTACAGCAGGGGCGGGGTCTGCCCCATGGCGTACGACTTCCGGCGAACTCTCCAACCTTGACTCATGATGGAAAGATTGTATCTCCTTTTATTTTTTAATCCAAAGCTGGACGAGTCATTTCGTCAGTGGAGTATTTCCACTGGTGTTGGTGGAGTCGGATAGTTTGACTTCCACTGTCCTACACATTTCTTAGCTTCTAAGTATTCCTGGTTAGTGTTATAATGTATGTAAAACCGATTTAACCTGCTCTATAATAAAAAAAAAATATTTGTTTATAAAAATCAACCAAAATTCATTTGACTATCCCAATAAGAAACTTGCATTTCGGATTCTGAACCATTTTGTAAATTGCGCACCAAATAATGGTAACATATTCAGCGCGCACATAATGAGTTCCCCCGCGACAAAAATCTAAATTCACCAGTGTTCTAAGTCGTGCACAGTTCACGACTGAACGCAAAGAAGCACACAGCAACGTCATTTATAATCCGTTATAAAAGAACTGGCAATAGAAGCACACGACTTCGTTCCAAAATGAAATCAATAGGCGCAAATGACTTTATTCCTAAAACAACACAATGGCATCAATAGAAGCCATTGACTTGTATCCCAAAAGTGACACAATTGGAGCAACAGAAGGACGTGACTTTGTCCCCAAAATAACTCATCAGTTATGAGCAATTCATCTTTAAGATATAAACATATTTATAACACAATCTTATAATTGTCTTTGAGCCAAAAGTCAAATGCCAGGCGTGTACTAGGCGTGTACAGGGTGTGTACTGGCCGTGTACTGGGCGTGTACTGGCCGTGTACTGGGCGTGTACTGGCCGTGTACTGGCCGTGTACTGGGCGTGTACTGGGCGTGTATTGGGTGTGTACTGGGAGTGTACTGGGAGTGTACTGGGCGTGTACTGGGTGTGTAGTGAGCATTTACTGGGCGTGTAATGGGCGTGTACTGGGCGTGTACTGAACGTGTACTGGGCGTGTAGTGGGCGTGTAGTGGGCGTGTACTGGGAGTACAATGGGAGTGGACTGGGCGTGTAATGGGCATTTACTAAGGGTGTACTAGATGTGTATTATGCGTCTTCCAGTCTTGTTAAAGGAGTGCACTAGGTGTGTACTAGGAGTGCACTAGGTATGTGCTTGGTATGTATGTACTAGGCATGTACTAGGCTTGTAATAGGCGTGTACACGTTGTGTACTAGATATGCTCTAGGCGTGGACTAGGTCTGTACTAGGCGTTGACTAGGTGTGTAGTAGGCGTGTACTATTTTTAAATGAGTCGTCAAATCCTTAAATCCGATGATTCCATACTCCCACAAGATGCGCCTCTGGCTAAAATGTTTAAATTAAACTTAGATCAAGTCCGAAAAATTATTATTGATCTCACAAGATCAATTAGATACGTGGTCTCTCCAATTGTTTGAGGAAGTATACTACAATCAAGATATGTGTGGATATAAATAGAAGGAGAGAGAGAAAGAAAAGGAGAGACAGGGAAAGGGATAGGGAGAGAGCAAGGGAAAGGAAAGCAGAGAGAGAGAGAGGGAGAACAAGAGTGGGTGAGTGTGGGAGAGAGAGAGGTAAAGAGAGTTAATGAGTGAGAGAGAAGGGGAGAGAGAGGTAAAGAAAGAAAGAGAGAGAGAGAGAGAGAGAGAGAGAGAGAGGGACAGAGAAAGAAAAATAGCGAGAAAGAGAGGGGGAGAGAGGAGGGAGAGAGTGGAGAGAGAAGGAGTGTGGTGTGTGTTTTTTTGCTGTGTTTCTGTTATGTGTCAGTTGTGTGTGTGTGTGTGTGGGTGGTATGTCTTGGGGTTAGAACGCTAGAGAAATGGGGCACTTCTGGAAGCTGACACGTGCATATCATTTAAAATGTTCACCTTTCCATTGGTTGTATGTTTCAAAACGGCAATGGGGTTGAATCTTAAGGGGTTGAATCTTAAGGGGTTGAATCTTAAGGGGTTGAGTCTTAAGGGGTTGAATCTTAAGGGGTTGAATCTTAAGGGGTTGAATCTTAAGGGGTTGAATCTTAAGGGGTTGAGTCTTAAGGGGTTGAATCTTAAGGGGTTGAATCTTAAGGGGTTGAGTCTTAAGGGGTTGAATCTTAAGGGGTTGAATCTTAAGGGGTTGAATCTAAAGGGGATGATGTTGGATTGTGGCTTGGGCAGCAAGATATCTTGTCCAGATGTTTCTCCTCATCCTACCCGCCACTGGTTGTAAGGTCAAAGTTTATAAACAGGCCGGGTGCTAAAATGTCGCAAGTGAAGCACGGGTGCGACCCCATGAGTGAAAGTGAAACGTATGTGTGTATGTGTGTCAGGGATGCTTAACACAGCTTTAGAATTTCGATGTACAAAGTTTGTTAAAGCTAGCGAAGAACGTACACAATGGTATGTACATGTTTCTTAACCTGGGATTTACACAATACCATGTCGACCCTTGATGTGGATCGGGCAAATTTTATTATAGGACAAAAGAACAACAAACAAATCCATAAAAGTGTTTCTATCATCAGTGACGGGTTGAGAATGGAAGACTCCAGATAGGGCCTTAGTGCATGGACATGGACCTATGGAACAAGTCACACTAGAGCAGTGGTTCTTAACCTGGGTTTGATCGAACCCCAGGGGTTCGGGGAGCCAGTCTCAGGGGTTCGGTGGAGGTCCAAAAAAAAATCAGATTGAAAATAAAATATCATATTTTATTTTTCCTATTAAGAAGGGATCGGTGAATGCGCATATGAAACTGGTGGGGTTCGGTACCCCCAAAAAGGTTAAGAACAACTGCACTAGAGTGAGGCAACATGCACCTTTGAAGGACTGAATAATTCTCTGACATTCTGTACACTGAAAGATCCAGATATAATCCTGATGCCCGCGCGAGCTCAACCAAAACACCACAGGTTATAGAATGGAGAAACACAATTGTCGTAGACACATATCTGCTTCCAGCTTATTGATAAAAAAAGATGATATTTCACAGGGCCCATTAGAAAAGATTGAACACTAACAAATTATTCCTCTGAACATGCATCCCATAAGCCACAGTAAAAATCATGCACGCCCAAATTAAACGAACAATATAATCAAGCCAAAAGTAAACACACAAATATACGACCCTTAAGTTAAAAATATACCTAAAGGTAAACATTATAAACAAATGTAAACACTACACCCAAAAGTAAACAATAAATAACCCTAAAGTTAAACAATTAATATAAAACTCTAACGTAAACAATAAATAACCCTAAAGTCAACAGTTAACAACACACAAGTAAATAATGTCCATGATATGGAATAAAACTCAAAGTCACCAAAAGCTAAGTTAGCACAAAATGATAAGCCGCGAAGTGAAATCTGATGGTTTGCTGTCAGCTGAACACACACATCTAAAGATCTACTTCAACCGAGAGAGTGTATTCTTAGACTTTGTGGCCAAACACTTCCGGCGAAACACTCAGTATCGAGAATATCCGGACGTAGCAATAATTTCCTCGATCATAAGAACAGTTGACTTGGCTCTGGGTTACGAAACTTCACAGCTGGCAGACGGTGCCGTACTCGGGGGCAGGGGAGCACGCGGTGACAATATCACAACCAACCAAACATGAGGAGCCGTGCTGTGGGCCCCACCTTAACCCTTGGCAGTACGTCTCGATACTGTATTTAACGCAATGGGAACTAGGCACGGGTCGAAAGTGATCCAGGCACGCACACTGGGATTGCAGCAGGTTGGTTAGTGTATAGGTAACTGGCATCACATTTCTACAGGTAAAAAAGTTGTTTTTTTTAAAGTCCACCGGAAACTGGTAGTTCGGCGACCAGTTTTTTTTTTAGGTCAAGTTTGAAATACGATCCGGTATTTACAATGACTTGTTTAGAGGAAAAATAAACTAACACGCAGTTTTATATGACTTGATGGCGTCATCAAAAGTTGATGCTGAATGAAGGTGTACGCTAAGTGGTTTTAGAACATCCTGCCCACATTCAACATGGCTTAATATCGCTGTTCTGTTATGTTTATTTCTTTACAGTCCTGTTGACGTCAATACAGTTAGATAAAGGCAGCTGCCGTAAAAACACGAATTCTGACACTTGAAGCTGCAAAGGCAAGATGACGTTGTACATTGACATGAGACTCTTGTAAACGTTATTTATTGGATATCTTAGTAGCAACCGTCGTTATTAGAAAGGCAAATACGGCTAGTCGTAAGCGGGTTTAACGGGTGCACATATGTGCTTGCTGCTTGTCTGATACGTGACATAAAAAGAGGGACACATATCAAGCATACATTTACGTTCCAATATGGCGAATGAAAATGGCAAAAAATTCATGGTATGAACTTTTTTAGTTTAAAAAAACAACAACCCACCTTCTTTTGTATTGTCATAATTAAATGTTTAAAAGTTGTGATTAAAGTTTGAATAGTTCCCCTTTTCTTCAAATGGAACGACCAAATTAGACGCAACAGTTCAATTTGATCAACACAAATTATATGTGGTACAGCAACGCGCGGCATAATAATCCCTAAGGTTATTTAACTCAGGGATACACGGACAACAACGAAGGCAACAGTTGCGATACTACAAAGATTTCAACTATGATGTCTTAGAATGAGACGTGATCACTCAAGGAGCGAAGGGTTCTTAAGATGGCGCACGAAGAAGCCCTAAGAATGTTAGCAGAATGGTTTTTCCTTTTTTGTTTTCTTTTTGCATGGCGCAACCTGTGCCTGCCACGGCGCATCATAATTTTTGGCGTTCTCAATATTTCCTGATTCCGGCCCAATTGTTATTTCTTGGTTATGTTAACTTTTGTTAAACATGTTGTCAAACATGCCATGCGTGACTTCAAATTCCCCAAATGAAGTGCATGGTGCTGCCCTTGTTCGAATGCCTCTTCGTGTGACAGAAGTTCTATGGCTGCCCCACGGGTGGGTGGTCTAGTTTTCAACATGTCGGGTATTGTGAACATATGGTGAACGTATTGTGAACATTTCTTGAACATAACTGGAGACAAATGGTCACAAAAATTATTCTGTTTTACTTTTAGACCAGGCCACGAC